TTTGTGGGGTCTGCCACGCCTCCTTCTGCCTGTTACATACATTTTAACAAAACCATTATACCCTGATTTCCCATTTTCAATGGGTTCAGGGTATAAAAAATTGTCAACACGCATTTGAACTTATTTTTAGACCGTGTCGCAATCGGATTTATTTTAATTTATTTATATTTTTTCATATTACTATAATTATTGTGTTATAGACGGGCAACAACTTTATTAAGCGCTTGTATAAACAGATGCTTATCGTGTCAAATAGACCGAAGGGGTAAAAAAAAAGGGTGTATTTTTAACCAAATCATAAATACCCTTTTTTAAAGGGTTTTCATATTTTTATGATGTTAATCTTGAGCCAGAATTAGGAAAGTGAGTAATCCTTGAGTTAGCTTATATATTTTTAACCAACATTTCTAGACAGATTACAGTTACTTAAATACAAATATTTTCTATATATTCTAAATCTTTAAAATTTAATAATTGTAATTTGTAAGAAAAGCATTGCTAATAGAATTAACTTGTTTTTCATACATTTTCATATATACATATACAAATAACTTTATATGTATACTTAAAAGCACGTTTAATAATCAGCCCACTGAGTTTCCAATTGAGATGTTATCAGCTTGGCGAATCGTCTAGTCTACGAGTAGCATCAGTTGCTACCAGAGTCGGCCTTAAACCGTTTCGCATTACGATGATGCAGCAGGTTTCGAAATTGCAGGAGCTTTATTTTTACCCACTCGCGCTATGCTCACTTGGCTACCTAGCCAATAGATAGAGTGGGCAACGAGTCTTATTTTTTGTTTTTAATATTCTGACACGAGCACGTCGGCTTCTGTCGTAAAATGAAATGTTGCAGCATAAAAATATACAATTATAGTGCATAAAATAATCTTAAAAAGATTTATGTTTTTTTTTTTTTATTGTTTGCATTCAGACAAAAAAAAAAAAAAAAAATATTTTATTACACTAAAAAACGAATTTAATATAAATTTCTAACTAAAAACCTCTATCAATAACATAGAATTTGTAATTAGAATTCGTATAGAATCAAAACACGTTCCCATCTCTATCAATCAGCACAGCATGAGCAACAACATTAACATAGACGTTTGTAGTTGCCATATCGCCCGAAGGGGAGAGTACAACGTAGAAATGAGTGCACGTCTTGGGTTGCGCTTCAGTTACCTTCTACAAAGAAAAAGCAGCGACGCGACGTCAAAGCTCGCGCTAGCAGCGACTGAGGCGGCCAGCGTCTAACGGCGTAACGAAGGCAATTCTTAATACATACGCCTGTGTGTGTGCGTGCCGCCCCACAAAAACGCTGATGGCTTTCCATTGCTGCTGCCTCGGTTGACGCTGGACGGAAGGTTTGCGCGCGCGCTTCTGATAACAACAACAACAGAAAAAAGAGCACCAAAAGAAGCGCAACAAAAGCAGCGCGACGTAGATAAGCGTGAGCACCCACACACGCACATGTACTCATGCTCACACATCGAGACACGCACACGCATTGTGAATGCAGCTGTGTGTATGGAGGAACATGGAAAACAGTAAAAAGCAAAACAAATTAAATGGGAAGGTGTGTGATGAAATTGATAACAGAGCACAGAGTTTTCTAGTTGTGGTTTAGTGATAACAATTTGTTTGAGTAGAGCGCTGGAAACAAGAGAGCAAAGTAATAGTCGTTCTCTTTCTCTCTTTCGCTCTCTCTAACTGACTCATAAAGGTAAAAGGTGGTCGAAGGTTCGTTTTAAAATCATTAATCATCATAGATACAATAAACGAATTATTTGTTTTGAATTATGACTAATTGAAATTAGGAATACTGAGCAGAAAAGAACGCCCGAGATGCATCTATGGACTGACCCCAGCCCCCCTTTCTGCTAATCCGCACCTGTGCCAGGCAAACAACAGTAGCAACAACAACAGCAGCAGCAGCAGCAGTAGCAGTGGCAATACGAATAGCAACAACATTCAAGTGGATTTTTGTTTAAAGCACAAGCAGCAAAAATGTCAGAAATTTGTGTGCAGAGATAAGCGACATTCAAGTATTTTCAAAACATAATAAATATTTGAATTTATTGTGTGTATTTATAATTGTTTTCAATTTTTTTTAGTTCAATTAATGGCGCGCGCAGCACAAAAATACACAAACACATATAGACACACAGGCACATATACACACTCACACATACACACATTGCAGCATAAAACTGGCGAGAGGCTGAGAATAAAACTGTAATCGAAATCCCTGCAGAGCAAGAGTAACAGCAGCAGCAGAACCATATACAACACCAAAAACAACAACAACGACGACGCTAGCCAAGAGGCTCTTTCGGCAGCAGCACCGCGCAGCGAATGCGAAGCAGTGTAGTATGAGAAGAAAAAATTTTCTTTCCACCAAACGTAATTGCACTGCTGCTGTGCTTAATTTTGCCAATGGATATGCACATAAATCTGTTTAAAATCTACTCACGCTTAAAATTTAACACTTGTGGTCTGCTTTTGTGGCCAGTTTGTTTACTTTAATGCACCATAAGTATATGAAATTTGTTATTTATTTTAAATTGTTTATCATGAACTGCACACACGACGACGACGACAACGACGAACGACCGACGACAGACACGAAGTGTGTACAACACGAATAAGCTACAAAATATGGTATTTTACAGCACTGTCGTGCTGCCAGCCTTTTGTAATAGAATTATTACTAAAATATTCTTCAGCGATTCGAAGCTATTATTATTGTCAATTCTTAATAGAAAAATAAAACAAATTTTTGTGCACGCACTTGTGTTATTTGCTGTGTGCTTATCGATAGGTATCGGAAAAATGTTCATTGTGGAAGATCTGGCAGCACCTGCACATGTTTATGCAATTAGCGCTAGAGATGGGGAACATTAAACGAAATATTTTAAAATTTCAAAACCGGTCAGTGGTCTTACGTTATAGAATTCCGATAAGCTTTTGTAATAATATTTATTATCATGAAGTCATTTGATGAATAAAAAAATTATTCGTGGCCCGTCTCATTATCGCGAAAATACAAAATACGGGTCAACATCGACATTGTGCACGGTATTTGTTTTTTCTGATGTAAGGCCAAATCTATAGGATAAAAACTTTCATAATTAAATGCTACTCGTTGGGCAACAAAAGTCAATTGAGTTAATATATCCCGAATTTTTCCAGAGGAACTCAGCTCTTCACAGAGATTTTGTATAAACCAGCTACCTTCAACTGTGTTCCTCCAGGAGCAAAAACCCGGAATAGTTGAGAAGGCAATCAGAAAGTCGGGTTGCAATGGAATTCGATAGCTTATAAAGCAATTATTATCGGCTTCAATGCAGCCGGGTTCAAGGAGCTGATGGCCAGGATCCTTGTGATCACCTTGACAGGCTTGAATGATGAAAATCTTCGGTTTGCCACCTAACGTTGGACATCGCTCAATTGTGAAGGGGCTTAATATGCTCTCTAGCGGATAATCCGTATCAGTCGCCTGAAGTGAGCCCATTTTACCATGTGAGAGTATAGCTATTAAAATGCAATCACATTCCGAATGATCTTTCATTCCAGCTTTGTTAATTTTCCTTATAATAGCTCTTCTGGTCAAATCCGTATATTCCTTAACCTTAAAGCCCATTTGCCGAAGAACTTTACTTAGACTTTCCATATCCACATCGGTACCCTCGCGTGTTGGAAGTTGTTGCTGCTCAAAGTATTTGTTATTAAAGATCAACGCTCTGCCACGGAATTTATGCGACATATTGTATTGTATATCATCCAACTTTAATGCCATCCTGAATGTACAACCTTTTGGTTTAAATTACGAACTGTTAATGTTTTCTATTGCAGTGCAAAAAACTCCCAAGTCAACTTTCTTTTATATTAATGTAAATATAACAATGTGGTTGTTGTTTGAGTGAGATAAATATAGCAGATATTTATTATATTAAAAATCTTTAAATAAATTAATTTTTGCGGTTTGTGGTTTTTTTAATTTGATATTTCATTGCCGAGTTTTTTCATTTACGTCATTAATAATCGATATCGTCGATTTAACATCGATAGCAGTTAATAGCGCAACTTTACAACAGCCGCAGCTCCCGCTTTTGTTAGAATCATTTGAGATTTTGTTAAAAATATTTAAATAAAATTAATTGTGAAGCAAGATGCAGGAGTGTCCATATGGCGAGAAATGTTACCGCAAGAATCCCATACATTTTGGCGAATACTCACATGCACACTGTAATGTTGAAGTAGTTGATTTATTGAGCTATATTTATTGTGTTATTTCCCATATTAGTGGATGCGATTTATGCCAAGGGCTGCGACGGGGCTAGCAATGAGTATGACATACCCGCCAAGTATTCCACTGAGCTAATCAATATACAGCTTAAGCTGTTGGAGAAACTATTTCCACAGTTGGCCGGAAAAGATGCCAAGAGCAAGCCGGCAACTGCTGTCAAGCCGTCAACAAAGGAAGCTAAATCATCTGCAGCCAGCACCAGTCGAGTCGCTGTTCCTGCCCCAGCCGACACAAGTCGAGATGCTGCCTCTGCCCAAACCAGCTCCGGTCGACCTGTGACCACTAACCAAGCCAGCAGTCAGAAGAGCTCATCGCAGCTTGAAAAGAAACCAAAACTTGAGCGTGATATACGCGATTACGTATCTGTCGTGGTGGAGAAGGGACGCATGGCTCGCAAACTGGAGCAAGCAGCGCCCTATAATATGTTTCTCACTGCCATCACTGACTCGAAGCCCACACATCGCGAGCCATTGAGCATCACACTGCAGGAGATATTCGACGAGAGCCTGGGCGAGATTGAGTCGAGCGTGCAAATCAATTTTATGATAGACATCGGCTGGCTACTGGGCCATTATTACTTTGCAGGCATACTGTAAGCTGGTATAGTGGAAGAGTTTTGCATGAAAACGAATGCCAGCTGGACCCGTTCTTTATATTAATTGCGGTCTTTGTATTAATATATTAATTCGATTCATTTCTAGTTCCAAGCCGCTCTTGGTGCTCTACGGAGCTGATGATCCCAACCTGGTTGACATTGGCAAGTTTAAGCCACAGGTCACAGCGATTAAGGTGCAAATGCAGTCTCCATTCGCCACATCGCATACGAAGATGATGCTACTAGGGTATACGGATGGATCGATGCGCGTTGTTATCTCTACGGCTAATTTGTACGAGGACGATTGGCACAACCGCACGCAGGGCTTGTGGATGAGTCCACGGTTGCCTGCATTGCCCGAAGACGCAGATACAGCCGCTGGCGAGAGTCCAACGGGCTTCAAGCAGGATCTTATGCTTTATCTAGTAGAGTATAAGTTGTCACAGCTGCAGCCATGGATTGCGCGCATACGCAAAAGTGACTTCAGCGCCATCAAGTGAGTAGCAATGAAAATTGATAATGAAAATCGAATCCTTATGAAATTCTATACAAACAGCGTCTTCTTCATTGGCTCCGTGCCTGGAGGTCATCGTGAGAGCGCCGTTCGTGGCCATCCCTGGGGCTGTGCGCGTCTTGGCTCACTGCTGGCCAAGCATGCAGCGCCAGTGGAGCCCAATATACCGGTTGTCTGTCAGAGCTCCAGCATTGGCAGTTTGGGTGCCAACGTTCAAGCCTGGATAGAGCAAGATATACTAAGCAATTTCCGCAAGGATTCGTCCCCTATTGGGCGACTGAGTCAGCTGCCGCCCTTCAAGATGATCTATCCCAGTTTTGGCAATGTGTCGCGCAGTCACGACGGCATGCTCGGTGGCGGCTGTCTGCCCTATGGTAAAAACACAAATGATAAGCAGCCGTGGCTAAAGAATTACTTGCATCAGTGGAAGTCCAGTGATCGACACCGCTCGCAGGCCATGCCACATATAAAGAGCTATACTCGCTTTAATTTGGAGGACCAAAGTGTTTATTGGTTTGTGCTCACCTCGGCGAATCTCTCGAAAGCCGCCTGGGGCGCCTTCAACAAAAAGTCAAATTTACAGCCATGTCTACGAATTTTTAACTACGAAGCGGGCGTATTGTTTTTGCCCAAATTTGTGGTACGTTTAGCTTAAAGCATTTCTAGTTGTTTGGCCCAAATTAACATATAATTATTTTATAGACTGGCGAGGACACATTTCCTTTGGGCAATGCACGTAATGGTGTGCCTGCGTTCCCCTTGCCTTACGATGTTCCTTTGACACCATATGGACCGGATGATACGCCCTTCCTTATGGATTATTTGCACCAATGAAATAGGTTTCAAATATGTGATTTATAATTACACTGATTGTTTCTTTTAAGCATTAAATGGAAAGGCAATTTGAATTAAATTTGTATGATACTGTAAATTTGAAATGCCCGCTTTTTTGAAATAATATACATATATTTAAAACCATAAAAACTCATCGAAACCATTCTTCAGAGATCTACTTGTTTATTACATATATTCATCATTATAATTTAGCACTGAAATTGTTCTAATTTAGCAATTTAGTCAAGTTGCAGATTTAAAAGCTATCGATAAGCAAGTAACGATAAAGTTTGCACTAACGTTGACTGCACGCTGTTAATAACATTTCGTTAATATGTTAAATGGGTTCTCTGTTAAAATCAGATGTTAGTTAAACGAACGAGCGAAAAATTAGTCACTCGTCGTCGATTTTTCGCACACAACTGTTCTCTAGAAGCGGTAAATTGGTGTTTAGACATTCAGCGCTACTATTACAAATTTGTGGTAAGTGCCCATTTACAAGAAAATTAAAATACGTGTATATGTGTGTGTGCTGAAATTTTATGTGCTTTTCTTAATACAAACCAAATGTGCGTAAAAAATATATACATTTATAGAAATGCAGCAATTTGTGAAGTGCCAAGCAGCACAGCGTAAAAGTGCCGGTTGCTTTGACAATTGGGTGGGGTTACATACAGTTAGAGTTCCTGCGGCCAGGCTGTCTGGAGTTCTAAAATGGCACGTATATACTATTTTGCTGTACGTGTTCATATATACACATATGATATGTGTGTATTTGTATGCAAGTGTGGGCGTGTGTTCGAGGACAGGAGACAGCTGTGTTGCCGGCAATGTCAGCCACTTGGATATATTGGGGCTATTTTTATGTGAATCATTTTTTTGTTTGTTAATTTAAATACATTCGCATACCATGCCATTGATATGTGTGTAATTTGTAGTTGGGGGTATGACTGTATATGTGTGTGACTGTATTGATATATTTTTAATGATGATTTCATAAAGAATTTAATTTTACTAATCGCTGTAGATATTAATAAGTAAGCTACTGTAAATGCGCTAATACAAATGTGCATTGGTTATTATCCATTAATGGCAATGTTAACAGTGCAAAGTTGATAAAAATTCTCAGCTGTTTGCCGCTTCATATACGGTCATTATTGTTGTTGTTTTTGCTCTCTGACTCACACCCCTATAGTTAACTAGAAAGTTTACGCAAGAACGAACAATATACATATGTATGCAACTGTGTGTGTATATTCGTGTGAAATCAAAGATGGCCAAAAAGCGCTATCAGCAAAAAATAAAAAAGGTTATTATATGAAAACACACTTATACAGAGATAACATTCTTCTTTTCCTATTTTGCTTTGGACATAAACACGCAGCAGGTTTAATTTCTAATTAATTGTTATATGAGACGAGCATCAGCGGCGCGCATAACGGTATAACTGCCACAGACACTTAATCTGCTCGTGCCGCTATTGCGTATGTGTGTGCGTGTGCATTTGAAATGCGTTTGCTGCTCGCAAAAGAACAACAGGCACACACACGCACACAAACACAAACGCCTGCATACAAACATTCACATCCTACAGTAACTCGTCTCTGTTGTGGAGCGAAAGTTGTTGTCGGCGCAAGCAGACGTATTCTCACTCTAATTGCTTAGATTTATTTGTAAGCTTTTGTATGCATTAAACTGCTGTTCAACAACAACAGCAACAACGTTAGCGCCGGTGCAATAAACTCATTGTTGCTGCAGCGCTTACAATAACAAAAAAGTATGCTCAGCTTTTGCGCTCTCTCTAGCTGCCCGCCTCTCTCTATTGACGCGCAAACTCTCTTCTTAACATTGTTGTTGCCATTACCACGGCGAAGCTTTCTCCACAACAGCTTCAATTCAGCTGTTGTTGACCCTGTGTACCTGTACTCAAAGCAGAAATTTGTCTCCAAATTTTGAAGCTGCTTTCAATGCGCATTCAGTTGCTCGCACAAATTTGCACCAAAAGCGTGTGGAAAAGCGGATGTTGAAATAACCAGTGAACAACGTTTTATAAATCTGATTGTCTTAAGACTTCAGATTGAACAATAAATATCCACTGCTTTGTGTGTGACCTTTGAAGGAAGCGCTGTTGTTGAATCTAGTCCGAACAAAACAAAAAATATCAACAAGCTGTGCCCATGCCGCCTATAACATGACCTTAACATTAACATTGCGCTGTTAAACGAATTTAGACTAATTTCGCGTCCTGTGCGTGCGCGCGTTTGCTGCCCATTTTTTTTAGGGTGTGTTCCGTTCAACAGCAGCTGTGGAGCTTTGTAGGTCTGTGTGCGTGTATGTGACCCAGTTGGGCCATTGCCGTGCCCCATAGCGCTGTGCCCAGGCTCTCTGCATTAAACATTGAAAAGTTATTTAATTTGCTAATTTTTCATATGTCAAACGCGCAAAAAAAGAAAGAAACTGAAAACACAGAAAGGAAAAAATATTGCGTTCAAGTGCGTGTGAAACGATTTGCGTTATACGATATAGGAAGCTTAAGGAGTGGTTTTTCTTTTACTGCTACTTTCTTTTCCTTTTGCGGCTTTCGTCATACGCCTAACCAATTTTTGTATGGCTGCTAGACGTTGTTTTCATTCTTGTTGTTGCTGTTGTAAATGAGAATGAGCTAAAGCATAAAAAAAAAGAAAAGAATCCGGAAATTGCATAATCTTAATGTGATACCTACCTAAATCGTTCATATACCACTACTCTTTAAGTACCCATAAACCAAACAAGACAACAAGAGCTGCAAAAATGTTCTCATGTTGTCGTGCTAATCCAAAAGCAGCCAAAAAGGATAAGGACAAGGATAAACAGTGTAAAAACGATGCGAACGAAACAAACGAAAAAATCGAACAACTGCCCGCAGATACAGCTAACGAACAGGTCACCCAGGAAGAGGTCAAAGCCAATGGCCAGGTACCAAAGCCTGAGCTACAAGCAGAACCTCTACCCCAACCTGAGCCAGAGCCAGAGCCTGAACCAGAACCACAACCAGAACTAAAACCTGAAGCACAAATTGAATCCGCTGACGCCACTGAAAAGGAGTCTGTTCCTATTGAGCGCTCTACTGGTATTCAAAATATGTATTACCTATGTATAACACCTAGTTCTATATGCAAATTTAGATATGTTGTCCCGCTTGTGGGAGCTTTAATACACGCTAGGGTATTGCACCTGGCTGCAGGCCCCTGGAGATTGGTGAAAAAAAGACAGAGCTATACCAAATACCCAGTACCTGCGCTTAATTAAGCTTGTTTTCCTCTTTATTTCGCCTTACTAGCAAATGTTTTAGCGCACAACTCTATGTTTATTATAAATATAGATTTGTATATATATTAAATTATATACAGCAATTATAGAATATCAAGATTTTAGATTTTTATGACACACATAACATCTTTAGGTATATAGGAATATGGTAATCAAATATTCAGTATGTAAAATCGTTTTCTATGAAAAGTTCATATCGTTTTCCGCTTTTGTTAACAAAAGAGAAAGACTTCTCCCACTCTCTGCCAGAAAAACCAGTTCTGTATTCTTATAGCATAACTTGGAAGAATATTACAGTCGGTCATCATCGACTGCATAATACTCGTTTAGGGCTAAAAAAGTTAAATAGTTTTTGTAAGGCTTTGTTATTTTCTTGATTTTTCAAGCACCTAGTACCAAATGATTTCAGGTCTTTGAATGAGTATATTAAGTCGTATTGGAATAATAGAAACAGTATTGGGGCATACAAATTTTTGGATTTAATTGTTGATCAATTATATATAAATACGTATGTATATATGTGCACGCTTTGCGTCGCATCTTCACAGCCCTTGAAATAGAAGCTATCAACACTGTCGCATCGTCGCCAGTGCAGCGTTCGACGCACTCATCCACATCAACCGCTCCACCCGCATCGATGACCAGCGCCACAGAGGATGAGCCGACGCCGAATGCAATGCCTCAACAGCAGCAGCAACAGCAGCAGCAGGTGTACGAGCCGCAACCGGCTAATTCGCATCCCACAAAGAGCTGCCTCTCCCGTCACAACTCGACGCATCAGTCCATCAAGAAGAAGGTGAACATAAGCAATCGAGCGGAGATCATTGAGCCAGATCCGTTGAGCTCATCGCTGTTGCTACTGGCCAATCACAACAACAACAACAGCTCGCTGGCCGACGATGATGAAGTGTTTTCCGACTCACTGCCGCCGCCCAAGCGGGAGAGCATGTGTGCGCCGTATATCGAAGGTGAACTGCTGCCGGAAACGCTGGCCTTTGCGCACGGACTGCCCGCCTGGTTCGACGATGAGCGATTGAATGAGATGTACGCGTTCTCTATCGTATTAGCCACATTATATGTACTACATGTATGAACTCATCTTTCTATTCTATTGTTATCGTTGTCATTGATGTTGGGTGCACGCCTGCAGCGGCTGCATTGAGCCACCTGTCACACCTGTCGGCCGGGATGAGCTGGAGCTGAAGCGTCAGCGTCTCTACACGGAACTGCTCCGCGCCGCCCACGCAGCCGTGGAGCATAGCGTGGCCGTGCGTGGTATGAAAGAAATACAAATGGAATTCTATTGTTAAATTCGATTGTTCGTTGCATGCCTTACGTTATCGATAAAACGTTCTATCAATAACGCTTTTGTTTTTCAAGTGCAGTTTTCGTCCTGTTCTCGTGAATGTTTTATATATCCTTTAAAAAACCACAAGTCTCAATTTCAATATTAAAGAAATTTTGTCTTTTATCTATAATACTTTTACATATTTATATGATCCTGTTTCTATTATAAATAACAAAATTTACAAATTGTATAGTCAAATGCAGTTGAAGTGAAAAATCGTTAGTAATTAATTTAAATTGGTTCTAATTTAGCTATTAGAAGAAAAATTGATTAGGGTTTATGCTCTATAATTTTCTAATTAAAAACCACTTCAGATCTTTAGAAATAGTCATCGTTAGGCTTAAAATAATTTTATTTATTTATTTTTCCTTTTTTTATGTATTTAAAATATATTAAAATATTTCTATAATTAAAAATATTTTTAAAAAGATTTAACATAAAAGGAAAGTTTTAATACTCTGTTTTTAGCAACAAGTTTTATTTTAAAATTGTTTTCCTTATTTTTAACTATTAATACTAATTATTATTATATTTTTTTATATTTATTTTTCAAATATTGTGTTGTATATTATAAATCTTACATATTTACAATTTAAACAATTTTAATACTAGAGTAAGTTTCGAGCTATAATACCTATTTTTAGACAGCTTTTATAGGGTATCAAATTACTATCACTGCATTCACATATCTCTAAACTCACTTATTTTTAATATGAAGCACCTGACATTTTTTTCCTTTTATAACCGTTCACCGATCTCTGCTCATCATTATCATCAGCAGCAACATCATCATCATCAGCAGCAGCAACATCATCATCAGCAACAGCTCATTCAGCGTTTTTTTGCTCGTTGCTTAATCTCTCAAGTCGTTTCCAGTGATTCATGCGAATTTATACTTTTTATTGCAAACACTGCGATGACAACAATCACAACTTGTTTTTTATTTTATTTTAATTTGTTTATATACTGGGTGTGAACACGATTTGTGTAATGTTTTCATCTTAATTAAATATACAAATAATATGTATATATTTTTTACGCTTACATTTTTTACGCACATCTTTTATAAAAGCACAAAAGTTTCTTAGCGAACTGGAATTATAATGGAGTTTTTTTTATTAATCAACAGATAACCACGAGTCGGAATCAAAACCCACGGCTGCCGTTGAGCATTTGGAAAGGATTTGCGAACGCTTGGAGACTTTAGTGGATCGGCTGGAGCACACGTTGATCACGCCACATCCAGAGACAGTGATTAAAGTACCATCTACACCACCCGCACCGCCATCACCACCAACGCCACTGCCACCGCCACCGCCAATTGATTCTCCCACAACAACAACAAGTGACAGCAACAACATGAGTGTCGCTGGCTACGAGGATATTATCGCCGGGCCATTAGCCGAGTACTTGGCGCTATCCGCCCAAATAGGCGGCGATGTGGCTGCGCATGCGCAGATTGTGAAGGCTGCATTCGAGTGAGTAATAACTGCATTCGATAATGTTATTTTTGTGTGACATTCTTAATTTTCAATTTGACAATTTATAGCGCCCAATTGCGTTACGTGACGCTGGCCACGCAGATGGCTAAGCCGCCGCAGGCGAAGGAAATGGAACTGCTGCAGCCGACATCGACGCAAATCAGCGCCATTTGTGATTTCCGTGAGAAGCACCGCACCTCGCCGCTCTTCAATCATTTGTCGGCCATTAGCGAGAGCATACCCGCCCTGGGTTGGGTGTGTACGACATCGATGCCCGGACCGCATGTCAAGGAGATGAAGGATGCCGGCCAGTTCTATACGAACCGTGTGCTTAAGGAGTGGAAGGAGAAGGATCCCAAGCATGTGGAATGGGCACGCGCCTGGCTGCAAACACTAACTGATATGCAGGCCTACATTAAGCAGTATCATACCACGGGCCTGGTCTGGTCTGGTAAGGGTGCAGCCCCCGCCGGCGGTGCACCACCACCGCCACCACCCGGCGGCATGCCACCACCACCACCACCATTGGATCTGAATGCCCTGAAGCTGGACAGCGCTGGCGATGACCGCAGTGCGCTCTTTGCGCAGATCAATCAGGGCGCTGACATAACCAAGAGTAGGAACAAATGACAATAACTTCATTAAACAGCCTTAATATTTAACTAATATTCTTGCAGACTTGAAGAAGGTAACCGGCGACATGCAAACTCACAAGAATCCATCACTGCGCACTGGTCCAGCGCCCTTCAAGACGCCAGCCAAAACCAGCGCCCCAGTTGCCACTAATGCCACTGCACCCGTGAAGGACCCAGTGTTTACCCGCGATGGCAAAAAGTGGTTGATTGAGTACCAGAAGAACAACTCGGGTCTCATTGTGGAAAATGCCGAAATGAACAATGTGGTGTACATGTTCCGCTGCGAGGGCTCCACCCTCACTGTCAAGGGCAAGGTCAACAACATTGTGCTGGACTCGTGCAAAAAGTGTTCGCTTCTGTTCGATTCGGTGGTTGCCTCCATTGAGTTCGTCAACTGCCAGAGCGTGCAGATGCAGGTGTTGGGCTCGGTGCCAACGGTGTCGATCGATAAGACCGATGGCTGTCAAATGTATTTGTCTAAGGACTCGCTGGGCGTTGAAATTGTCAGCTCGAAGTCATCCGAGATGAATATACTCTTGCCGGAGGATAATGGAGATTTTGTATGTGGAGCTTAAATTGTCTAAATAATATTTATATATTTATTTCATACTTTTTTTTTTAACTTTTTGCAGACCGAACTGGCTTTGCCCGAGCAGTTCAAGACCTTCATCAATGGCAAAACCCTCAAGACTGTGTGCGTCGACAGCCTGGGCTAATGCGTGGGCATGCACATCAGGGATCGCATGGACGTCGTTGATTGCTTTTTAAATAAAAACATATATGTATGACAAGTCACCTTCCCCCCATAAAAACCCGCATCCAACTAATTGCAAGTGGATTGCAGCAAAGCTAAATAATCTAATTTTAAGCGCAGAGTTTTCGTATTTATGTATTTATCATTTATTTTTTGTAACGTACGAAAATTTAGAAAATAGTTGCCAAATTATGCTGCTATCGTAAAAAATGGGGCGAAAACAGAAAGTATTCACAACAAAATGAAAAGAGATCATAAAAATAATAAAAACAATAAATTTAAATATTTATTTTATAATGCAAGAAAGCAATGCGACGTAAACCGAACGATAATCCAATCTGTATCTAGATATTAACTACAATTGTAATGAGAATAACGCACGAAACTTTGTCAACATTTTTAAGCAGACTTTTCATTCGATTATAAAATTCATAATATTTTGCACATTGAACATGTAAGCGAGACACCAGAGTCAACAGTGAAAATCAAGCAAAAATAAGAACTCTTTTTATATTCTATTTAAATAAAATTTAAACATTTTTTATTAAATAAAAAAATGAAAGAAGCGTGGTTTAATTTATACAATTTTCTTCTTAAATATATGTATATATTCATATATTCAGATTTTCACGTAGTTTAAGCCAAGATCAAAGGCAGATCGGATATTTCAGTGCGTACGGAATGAATTTCTGCTAATACTTGGTTATATCTTTTTATACTCAATGCGCTCCACCTTGACCTCATCGCCGATCAGTTGATAGACATAGGTCACCACCGTGGTGCTCTGTATGTCCATCAGCACAAAAGATGGCACCACATTTTGGTCCAGCGGATTGAATGCGCCTGTTGCCGAGCCCGGATTGATGTAGAATTTATTGCCATGCTCGTATGCCTCAAATTTGTACGTATGCCCCGTTATTAGTATATCCACATCTAGTTGGCGCTGGATTAGGGCTAATGCTTCGGGATCTCCTCGAGGGACGACCTGATGACCGTGACACAGGCCAATACGGAATTGACCCACCGTCACAACTTTCTGCTCCGGGTAGCTGAGATTCTCATCAAAATCACCACGCACTATGTGCACATCGTTGGCCAATGACTTCAGATAATCATACGATTCCTTCGTGCAGATATTTCCAGTGGCCAGTATATGATGTATCCGACCGGGCACAAGCAGCTTTTTGAACTTTGCCGGCAGACTGCTGCAGCGGTGTGGTATATGCAAGTCGCCAAGTACTAGAACAAGCATTTTATAGCTGTGCTATGTTCTTGTTTCTTAAAACCGGATGTAATACGTGTTTAACGCCGTTTTTTATCAACAACAGTGGGTGAAACGCCCAACAAAAATTTTAATGCTGACAAGAACAGCTGATTGAAGTGTCCGCGTTTGCCGCAGAATGGCAAAATGAATGAAAGTGTCAGCGCTGCCATGAAAAATTCGCGTAGTGCCAAAGGTTGGGCAAACCGCTCTTTATCACGTTATTTAAATGAGAATTATTCATTGAGCTTCATTGAAGCTCAAATATTGAACTTAACACTTGTTACATACAGCTCTGGAGAGACTGACGTAACAAATGCAACTAGTGGCGTGCTCTTTTGCGTAACCTTTGAATTTTATTCGCAGAGTTTACCATCGCGCTTTGTTTTGCCGGCGAAAATGGAGTCCCCAGACACAACAGCAAATAAAGAAGGTATATTCCAAATGAGTAAGCGTACTTGAATTTGAACTTATACTCTAATCTTACAGATGAGGCAAGCATTGACCTGTTGGCTATCGTGCTGGACACGAATCCCTCCCAGCTGATTGTTCGACAAAATCCACAAAATCTAACACAGATTCTGGAGGCAGTCATCGCCTTTGGCAATGCGCACCTCATGCAGAAGGCGCAGAATAAATTGGCTGTGCTCTCCTGTTCACATTACAGCACGTAGGTGACGAATAAAACAAGCATTGAGTGAAAATATTTATTAAGTAAATGTTTTCCTTCTCAGAGAGTTTCTATTCCCCCTGCCGGGCAGGCAGGTAGAGCTGCGCCAAATAGATGCCCAATATGAAGCGTTCAGTTTAGTGGAAAAGACGGTGAAGCAACAGTTGGGCAGCATACTCATGAATGCGCCTCGTTTGAGCGCGCCGTGCGAAAGTTTACTAGCGGGCAGCATGTCCATGGCATTGTGCTACATATCACGAGTAGGTAGTTAACTCCATTCTTAGAACTTGAATTCTAAATATTTTTACTTTTACAGCTGCAAAGGAATGTCCCGGCTGGCGTAAAGATGCATTCACGCATTTTGGTGATCACGGGCAGCAATGAGTGCGCCTCGCAGTATATGACCTTCATGAATGTCTTCTTCACGGCCCAAAAGTTGGGCATTGTCGTTGACACCTGCGCCCTGGACAAGACACTCAGTTTGCTGCAACAGGGATGTGACATAACGAACGGTCAATTTCTCAAGGTCAATCAGTTGGATGGCTTGTTACAGTACTTGCTGTGGGTCTTCTTACCATCACCGCAGATGCGGCACAAGCTGGTGCTGCCACCCACACCCAAGGTTGATTATCGCGCCTCTTGTTTCTGCCATCGCGAGTTAATAGACATTGGCTACGTTTGCTCCGTATGCCTGTCTGTCTTTTGCAAATATAGTCCAATCTGTACCACATGCCAGTGAGTCAAAAAGTTTGTTAAATTTGACAAATTATTTATAATATTCATATAATTACTTGCAGCACGATTTTCAAGACTCCTGGACCACTGCCCATTAAGCCCAAGAAGAAAAAGAAGATTGACAAAAATTGAACAAACATGCTTTGAAACGCGCACAAACGTATTTCTTAAATTTCCAATATTGTATGTGAATTATATTAATGTATATTTAGATTGTAAGCAAAAATTAAGCCACAAAAGCCGGCTGTATATTGTTTAAGCCGAAAGTTCACATTTAACATTTCTTTAAATTTTAATTCCGAAAATATAAATGAATCCTTATTGAATGAAAAAAAAGACACACACAAACACATATATTTAGGTTTAACAAGTAATTCATTTCATTTTTAATAATTAACATTTTAGAATTTGGTATCATTAAAAACGTTAGGATTAAGGCTCTGAGGGGTTTCATCCCTGACTATATACCCATTACTAGCTTCGTAATTTGTTGGTTCAGAATCTGTTTTCACCCCGCCAACAAATATCTGAAATTCCCCTTTCTGTTATATATCTTCGAATTTGGTTTGATTAAAATGTTCAACATTAAGAATTTCGTGTGATTTTACTGAAATACATAGGTCCAAAGTTGGCCGGCAAATATGGCAGAACCATTTGGCCATATTTCAAGCCCTTTGGCTGCTCGAATCTGTAGATGTCGCTAAAGAGCGCTGTGTGCTGGCTGAGATCTTTGATGCGAGCCGTGATACCGTGCTCGTTGAAAACCTTCTGCAGCGCCATATGGACAACACCATCGTTCTGTACCGGAGACAAGGAGCACGTGGAGTAGACCAAACTGCCGCCAGGCTTTAATAACCGCAAGCAATTCGCCAAGATGCCGGCCTGCAGCTCAGGTATGCGCAGACGTTCCTTGATTCGGGTCGGCTTGAAGATATTGTTGTCCTGATGCATTAGCACATGTCTGTCCGTGGTGCATGGGACATCCACCAGTATCTTGTCATAGCTGCCATATTCATCTAGATTGCGAGCATCGCTCTGACTAAAGATCAAACGCTTGCCCGCCCAGCGCTGTTTGTAATCAAAGAGATACTCCTGCATGACGCGTCGCAGTTTATTCAGTCTCGACTCCTGTACATCGTTGCACACCAACTGATCCAGGTGTAGCGTTTGCAGCATCAGCAGTGACTTGCCACCTGGTGCCGCACAAGCATCGAGCACACGCTCACCCGGCTGTACTTGCAGAAACAGCGGCGGCAGCACGGAGGCGCCGTCCATTAGAAAGTGAGACAAGACACCAGTTAGACATTGCCGCGGCGGCTTAAACTCCGCACAGTTGCCCATTTCGTAGGTGTAGATGGCCAAGTGTTCGGGATACTGAAATATGGCCTCGGGTTCGATGATTAGCGGAAAATCGGTGTTGGTTTGATAATATTTATAATGCTCCGATTCGGCAACCCAATCTTCCATGCCCTTAATGCTGCTGGCGGGCACATATTCGTACAGGCCGCCCGTGCCAAATTGTGGATCTACTAAACGACTCTCATCTAATTGCACGTCCTGTTCCAAGGCTTTGGTCAGACTCTGCGTAAACTCCACTGACGATGCCTCCTTCTCGCTGTCTGTCTGCGCTTCCGTGTGACTGTCTTCTTTATTCTTCTTCCCATCGTAGCTCAGCTGTTGTGGTGGCACATGTCCATCGTCTGTTGCAGTCGGATAGATGGCAGCCACTTCGCGTTCTTGTTGCTTGCGCAGCAACGATTCCAATTTGTCATCGATGTCGTAATGAGCACGCCGATTAAGTAGAAGATTAGATTCTGTGCCGGCTTCCTCTCGTTCCATTGCCAATTGAATAAGAGATTTAATATTGATGGCACCGTCCAGCTCAAGCATGCTGCACGTTTGCTCCGTGTCACCGAAATTATTTACCATGGCAACATATTTGTGTTCGGTTAGGAGCGCAGCACGCATATTTTTCCAACGTCCGCCATAGACAGAGCCATAGAAATCGTCGAAGGTTTCCAAGGCACGATCGCAATTGTTGCGTTTGTGTTGCAGCACATTCCAACGCCTTTTGCCGCTCTTCCAGCGTCGCTGCAGCATGCAAATGTTGCGTATTTTCAACATTTTCGCACGACCGGCAATTTTACTGGCAGCGACTTGGCCAGAGTTGTGACTGTCAGTGCAGTTTGAATTTTGAAATAATTTTTTTATTTGACTTTTTTCTAAATGTGCATATTTTGAGCGAATATAACGAAAGCGTTATGTACACTTTGTTTTTATTTTTTATTTAATTTTTGTTGCCTAAATTGTCTTTTAATTTAATTTCATTTTAACAAATGATTATACGAATTGTCGATATTCGATAAAATGCTATCGATAAGAAGAGAATGTCAAATCGGTTTCAGTTGCTTGGTGAACCAGTTTATTTGTTATTTAAATTAACAGCTGTCTGCTATGAACATGTTTTAGTTCTGTTAACGGCTACATTTAAAATATGTTAATTAAAAAAAAAAAAAACGTTTGAAATAAAATTAGTTTTTTATTCCTTTTTTTTAAGCTTTTTTGTTTGAAGATATCCTTCTTATAGCCAGCTTTAACTAGCCCTCATCCCATGGTTGCACTTCTCCCTGTGCCAATAGCATGTAAATAACAAATTCAATAATATACAGACCAATTGTGATACCAAAGATAACTCGCCAGGCCTGAATTGTTTGCTATTTAAGAACGATATGCAAAAATATTTCGATTCAAGATTCATTTCGGATATAACTTACAAAATTGTCGGTGATAAAACCTACTAGGCTAGGCACCGCAATTCCAGGTATTGTGGCAATAGTATTGGTCAGAGCCATTAATGTGCCAGCAAAATGTGGTGATATATCCATGTGATTCGAGAGGAAGCCGCAGAACATGCCGCCTGCGCCCACAATACCCAGACACATGAGACTAATGGCAACATAGTGACGACATCTGACGAAACACATACCACACAGACAGAGGGCTGGCACGACTGAACTTATGCCCGTTGCGATTTTTCGGGCAGTCACTCGCCTAATCTTATCTGTATATGTAAATAGGATATATTGCAGTAATATTATAAAGACTCAGCTCATGGCAATACTAACTCTTATTCTGTAATATATCCAATACCTTGCTAAGTACGATGCTGAATATTGGCATGAGTATAAATGGCAAAGCGCTAAGGGCTGCACATTTCGACACATTGAATTTGAGCACCTGTTTTATGTAGGACGGAATCTCAATGACGAAAATGTACCAACCGAAGTTGCTGCAGGTGTGAGCAATGAGAATTGCCCAAAAGGCACCCGATTTGAAGATCTTGCACCAGGGTACATAGGGTGCAGCAGGTGCCTCGCCCAACGAGGCGTTAATCATGTCACGTTCCTTTGCGGTCATCAGGCGCTGTTTGTTTGGATTGTCCTGTATGAGGAATACCCATAGTATCATCCAAATGATGCTCAGACCACCCGTTATATAAAAGACAGCCTCCCAGTCAATCTGATTGAAGATCAAGTTCGACAACAAGATCGATGTCGCCGTGCCCGCCGATGTGCCCACATAGATCAGGGTGGCGATCAGCAGCCGTTCCGTCTGTGGCGCCCAGCTGGCTATCATATTGTGCATCGACGGGAATGCCGCTCCACCGCCAACGCCTTTCAGAATGCGCATAGCCATCAGCCCGGCATAGTGAAACTTCGCCAGAACCGGTGAGAATATGGTGCATATGAAATTGATCGCCACAGCGCTGAGGAATACCCATTTCGCTGAATAGATTTCGGCAATGCGAGCCGACGGAATCTGCGACACCATATAGCCCCAAAAGTAGCAGCTCAACAGATTACTTTGCAAGCTTTCGCTCCAGTTAAATATTCCGTTCTGCGAGCTTACACATATAACTTAGTGATATATCAATTAAACTTGGATTCTAATATACCTTACCTCCACTTTAGCATTGGGTGAGGTGTCCGACGGCGGATGACAGCCCCTATCTTTGTTAGTAGGCGCTGAAGGACTGACGTGAAGAGCAGCCGAATGGTTTACCATGACGACCATCGTGACGTTCAGGCTTACCCTTAGTCCATACACGATTGCCATGCCCAGATTGGCGAGGAAGGCAAATATGTAGCGTGCCGGCAAGAATGCTATTGGAGTGCAGAACCTCAACCACTCAAACTCTTTCGGATTTATGCAGGAAACTTACATGGATAGTACTCTTCTTCTTTTTCATCATCTATCATTTCATACAATTTTTCTTTCTGATGGAATAATTTTCTGCATTCTGATTGATTGCGACTATACAACTATTGCGATTTCTGGAATAAATATATACACATGTTTTCCAATTCTAAGATACAACAAATTAAACCAATATATTTTTTTGAAGTTTCAACGATTTAATGGGGAACATTTTTGAAAGGTCTCGTCACCTTTGCTAGCACTTTATTCATAGCAAATCATGACTCAGATGGTCAAATACCGCTGTGCTCTCTAATCCATTCACGAACAGTGGATACTCTACCATATACGCCCGCAGAGTTGGGCATGTTGCAGGGTATTAAGGTCCACGAGACCACACCCACCAACAGGCCATCCGAACTCACCAGGGGACCGCCAGAATCGCCACTACAGACATTCTTGCCGCCTTGCGGGTAGCCAGCACAGATCATGCTATCAGTCACCTTCAGTGAATAGAGTAACCTCTCACACTCCTGCTGCTTGATCAGCGGCACCTGCACCTGCTGCAGCTGACCGCTAAAGTTCAGAGGATTGTCTGTTTTGCCCCAGCCGCTAGCATAGCACATTTCACCGTCCTTAAACTCTTGACCCTGCTTCGGCAGCTTAACGGCCTGCTTGGTCTCATCGAATTCAATTGGTTCCTGGAGCTCCAAGAGTGAAAAATCATAGTCGTACGTAGTTTGGTTGTACTTTTCATGGCTAACGATCTTTTTGATGCCTAGCAGTTGCCCATTTAGCCCAACATTTTCAGAGCTGCCCAATCGCACTTGTATCTGATTAGGTTGTGCGCCACTAGATTAGAAGGAATCGATGTTAAGGCATGAACTTATACAGGATGCAACTTACAAGATGCAATGCGCTGCCGTCAGTATCCACTGGTTAGAGATTATGGAGCCACCACAGTGAATATTCGCCAAAGAGACCTGATATGGAGCCTGTGTTATATTTATAGAGTGACCCCCAACAATGCGACCATTGATGCGTGGCTGGCGTCCCAAGAGCTGATTGACGGGCTGAGGTATTGAACGAACGCCCGCCAGGAAGGCCGCTGCGGCTTGGAGCAGCAAGAAAGTCACAAGCTTAACTGACATTATTGAGTTGACTTTGAAAGAATGAAAAAAGCGCTCGACTTTTATAGAAATGGCCCAGGCCCAGAAGCAGCAAAGTCTGAAGAATGTCTAATAGTCCTGTAATCTAAGAATGCACTCATATATAAATCAGGAA